TCTGCTCCTAAAAAGCCGTTTCGAGAGGGGGGTCTGCAGCAAAAACTGCGCATTTTGCCAACTTCTCTCATGTGCTTCGTTCTCCTCTCGCATGCTATATCATTGCTCGAGGGGCCTTCAAACATGCTTCTCAATGCCCTCAACCACCTCGAAAAAACGGAATGCAAATCCATGATGTCTACATCAAGATATAGGGTTTTGAAATTGCTCCACTGTTGAATACCGTGTTACCACCTTAATCATTAGGCGACTCGAATTAAATTCCCGGTTTCCGGTCTCCGACCGACCGAATTTCTGAGAAAATTTCGAAAAAATGTTTATTTTTTGCCCAATTTTGCCCCAAAATCCTCCAGAATATGGCAGATGGACGTCTCAGCGAGCTCTCCAAAGTGGAAAAGTTCGCATGTTTCAGAATTTAAAAGTCCGCCAATTGTAAAATTATCGTGATGTGAATTTGGGCAATATCGAGCAAGTACAAAATGCCTCTTGCCATGCCGGCGGCAGCGGGTTGATCGGACGGCGCGCCCCGCTTGCGCTCGCCGTCGTGCCTGACCTAACCGGGCTAAAGCAGCCGAGAATGAATGGCCAGCCCTCAGCAGCCTTTCCACCTTTGTTCCGCAGCAGGAGAGCCCGGGTTATCACCTAAATACACCGGGCCAGCCGTGTGCTGTTGCGGCTGCCCAGTTGCTGCACTAATTGGATTGGTTGGCAGCATCGCCAGCAGTGACACACGAACCAATGAACATGCTCCATCTTGCTGATCTGGCAAAACCTTTCGCGCCATATTTCTGAGAGCTATCCTCCACCAGGCATCACAGCCTGTGACCTTCACTGCCACTGACTGTTGACAGGTCCAGCAGGTCAGCTCCGCCAGTGGCAGAAGGTGCCTGCATTGCTTGTTAATTTAGTTCAATGTGGGGCACAATACTAGTGAGGGTTTCCGGGCGCCTAGGCACCAAGAGAACTTGAAGGAGGGTGCTGGCATGCCTGCAAATGGCTTCTCAACAACCGGAGAAAGTTGTTTTAATCGTCCGAGGCATCCAGCAGCCGGCACAAGTGATCTTCAAACCGCACATGGTGAAAGTTGATCCTGCCAGCAGAGTTGAACAAGTGCTTCTTGGCTGTTTGAGAGACAAATGTCCGGCCAGAGATGCATAAGCTTTAGTTCCTGATGCACTAGTGCATGCTTCTCCAAGTGGAGGGAAGTCTAGTGCGGCTGATCTTAGTTGGGTTCAACTGCCAGACCTTGACGTTGACATCAGCGATGTGCTAGAGTGCGGCAAGTATGTTGTATTCCTCCTACCTAAACCGGTGGTGGTTGACAGTTGCAGTTCTACCCAAACTCCCAATGCCTTTGACCTTCTGCGAAGCGGCTCGCGAAGGGTTTCGGCGCCTGGATTGCCGCCTCGAGTTGAGAGCCCAACAAACAATAAGCAGAAGGTGCACAACGCGGTGCTTGACCTGCTGGCAGAAAGAAGCTGCCTCTTCAAGGGGGAGTGCATTGAGAGCACTGGGAAGGCATTCGTGAGCACTCTGACTAGTCTGCTGTGGTACATTGATGCTGCCCACGACAGGATCAACACCGAGGTGGGGCGGGCTTGCGCCACCCCTGAGGGCCTGGCGGGCTCGGGGGTTTCGACGGCGAGGTCGCGCGGTCGCAGTCAGCAGGGGATCCCCACTGCGTTCAGCAGGTTTCAGGGGTTTGATGACTGGCAAAGGAAGCAGAAGGGGCGCTCTGTTGTGCGCGAAGCCAAGCTGAGTGAGCTGGAGGAAGAACTCTACCGATTCATTCCAACTGGGGACTCCTGGGGCAGCGGGCAGGATCAGTGGGCTGAGTTCAAGGCGGAGCTTTCGGACCTGGCGGATGTGGTGCATTCCTACCGGATGTACCTTCGCAGCCAGAGGGAGTCCGTTGAGCAGCGGCATGAGAGTTCCACCCCCTCTCGCCAAGTGGGGACTCATGGCACGTGCCGGACAGTTGAGGGGTCGGCAACTAGAAGTCCCGCCATCGTGGATGCTTACCGCCAGTTGCAAGCTGCCCTAACTGTCCTTCCTGACTACGAGTATCTGGACCTGGCGCCCTTCACCGATCCTCTTGATAAGAGGGTTCGCTACCAGTTTCTTAAACGACTGGTGCTGCCATTTCCAGTCTCCCTCCTCAGGTAAATATGGCCTGCTTTGACAGGCCAAAATATCAGCCAACGTTTCTACTCCGGCAGATTACCTGTAGATTTGACTATATGCAAAGTTGCCTTTTTTTGCCTGCCTGGAAGGTGTTCTGAGCAACTGACACGATCTGCGTTCACACATCTGTCTGTGCATTTGTTCTGAAGTGCCATAAATGCAAGGATCAGCTCAGCGTCCAGTGTGTTGACAGGTGAAAGCAACAAGCTGGTTGCTTAACACTTGGAGTTTGTGTTGTCGACTCGTAAATCATGCCTCACTTCGAATTCGGGCCTTTTCTCAGATTCGATCCTGGTGGAGGAGCTGGTGCGCTGGCATTTGTCTGGAGACTCCCAGCGCGCACGTCAGAGCGATGCTCCTCTGAGAACTGCACCAAGCAGGCCCGAGTTGTCAGCCAGCTGGACAAGCAGATGCCCGAGTTCCACACTCGCGCAATGCGTCGGGAGTTCAAAGAGCTTATGTCGGGGGTTAGCGGCGTCAACGATCAGGTTGCTCGCTTCGTGTATCGGTTGCTGTCCGGCGATCAAAGTGCTGCGCACGATGGAGCTGAGGGGGTGGTTGACGGGAGGACACAACAGATCTTGCAGATGGGGGATGAGAATCTGGTCATGGATCTTCGGGAGATCAACCTGGGGCGGGAGGGCATCTTCGACCTGTTCTGGGAGGTGCTTGGCCAAGTGCTGGAACAAGGTGACGCTCATCCTAAGTTGCGCTTTTGCTACTACCCTGGAGAACGGGTCTTGAGAGCTAATATGCCATGCGCCGTGCTCGCGCCGTGCTTGGTCCTTGTTTCAAGCTGATTAGTCCTCTGATTTCTGCAACCCAGTTGAGATTGATGAGTCATACATTGGTCCCCACACCAGTTGTACATCTTTCCTAGATCTGGCAGACTCTCATGATAGCCTGCCCAGGCTGCTTCAAAGAACAAATCCATTGCTTTATACTCTCGTGTTCTGTGGTCAAATACTGCCCAAGTGTCGTCCTGCAGAGTCGGTCTGATCTGCAATCTTACAAGAAGCCTGAGCTGATTAGAATTTCTTCTATTCCAGGCCGAGAGCAGGCTGTAGACGACAGGCGACATGGGAGCGTTATGTTTCTCGGCTCGTGGATGTCCCCTCGCGACCTCCACGAGACCGTGCAACGGCTGGTGAAGGAGAAGGATCCCCAAGCGCCCATTCCCAGCAGCGCTGGATGGAGTTCCAGTTCTGGCCCAAAAACCCCTACTGCCAAGCTGCCCTTGCCTACACGGGGCGCTTCTTGGTGAGTTGCCCTTTTTAGAACCAAGGTTGTCTGTTTCTGAGCGATGTACCCGCGTCCTGCCATTTATGTCTTCTTAGAGCGCTTGCATATGTTGAGAGAGCCTGTACCATTGCAGCATCTAGATCTCACCTTGTTACACAGACTTCTATAAATACTCTGAGTCTTCCCAGATTCTTAGAATTCAGGCTTCAATCTCTCCAAGCATCAGGCTTGTTGTGTCTCCACCTGGCATAGCTGATGAAGCAACACGTGTTGTGTCTTGTTTTTTGTATCCTTTTTCTGACCTGATCTTGGCTGCTGTACTTCTTTGAAGAACCTCTTGCTTTCATCGCATGGGTCCTTGCCCTTCTATGAATGCAGATCTCTGATTGAGCACGAGCAGGCTGCAATTGCTGATACAGCTTGTGCTCTTGCAGCTCAAGTACGCGGTCAAGAGCCGCATACTCAGCAAAGAGCACATCGACGGCCACTACGGGGGCTGCATGCGTGACTACTGGAAGCACGTGGCTGTCTTGCTGCCGGAGCACACGGTGGTGGTGCACCTGGACGACAAACACGCCGTGAAGGTGGGGGAACCTGGGGCTCCTGTCGTTGCCCTGGACCGTGGCGGGCGCGTCCTCCAAGATGTGGCGGCGGGTCCTCAAGTGGCCCTCGACCACGACTTTACCCGGGCCAAAATCGTCCCTTCGGTGACTCTCGTTCAGCATGGGCCGCTGATCCCCACAACTGCGGACGACTCCTTCTACCGGGGCCAGGTCTTCGTCACCCTGAAAGATGCTGTCTTTCAGCCCTCGTCCCCCCTCCGCCACTCAGCTGAACTCGTCAGCATAATCCGGTGGGCCATCCGCCACCGGATGTTGCCTCCCAGCATTTTGTTGGGCTACACCGACGGTGGCCCCGACCACCGCACCACGTATGCATCCGTTCAAATCGCGTGGGTGGCTGTTTGGCTGGCGCTGGACCTAGACTACCTGCTGATCGTGCGCACAATCCCCTGCAACTCCTGGGTCAACACCGTTGAGCGGAGCATGTCGATCCTCAATCTGGGCATGCAAGGCGTGGCTGTAATGCAAAGCGCGATGAGCCCCTTCTTTGAGAGACACTTCAGCAAAGCAACGAGTCTGGCCGCGATGCGAGTGGCAGCTAGCAAGGTGGACGGGGGGGAGGAAGCGTGGGCAGGGGCAATGGAGAGCGTTTTGCGGATGCTGGGCGAACGGCTAGAAAAACTGAGCCTCAAGGAGGAGGCCTTTACAGTGAGGCAACCTGCTTCCCAGCGGACTTGGACGCCCTTTGGAGCCTAGTTCTGGCCATCGACAACCCCCTGGTTCTTGGCAAACTGCAGGCGGCAAACCTGACCGGAGCGAAGGGTTGGAAGGCCTTCGTGGCGAAGCACATGCGCTTGGGGCACTACTTCCTCGAAATCCGGAAGTGCACCGATCCCGCCTGCCAGTTCTGCTCCTCCGGGATTCGCACGCCGGCTGAGGACTGGGAGCAATTGAAACCCTTCCCCAACCCCATGCCCGACCCTGAGAGACCGGGCCACTATCTTCCTTTCGAGAAAGTGTACGGGCAGGAAACAACGGAGGCTCACCGCCCGTCGTTGATCAAGGCAACAGCGGAGGCGGCAGCAAAGGATGGAAAGCGGCGCGCCGAGGGGTCGGGTACGGCCGGACGCGCAAGGGGTGCAGGCGAGAACGGGGCGGCAGAGCCGGCGAGAGCAGCCGGTCAGACAAATGGGGCAGCAACGGCAGGCGGAGCGGTCGAAGTAGGAACTTCCGGTCGTGGTCGTGGTTGTGGTCGCGGTCGCAGCCGCAGCCGCGGCCGCAGTCTCGGTCGCGGACGTCAGCGGAGTGTCCCAGCTGAAGGCGGGGCAGAAGGAGGAAGCGGCCGCGGAAGGGGGAGGTCCAGTCCAGCGGAGAGCCGCGTCGGAAAACCGCAGCCTTCCGCAGCCGAGGTGGAAGGGGCGGCAGCAGACGCTGCGCACGACAAGCTCTTTACGGCGCAAAATGCGAGGGACAGCATCCTCTGCACCGTTTGCGAGAAGCCACGGGTGGTGTACTCTAAGTTCGCACTCACCCGAGTGCAGAAAGCAGCCTTGGAAGTACAGGAGGAGACTTTCGACTACATCTGCGGGTCGCCTCTCTTTCCAGATATGCCCTCGACGGTGCTCAGACCTGCGCATGCGGCTGCAATTGAGGAGGGGGCCGGCTTCAATCCTGTAACGGGGCGCACGACCAACGCCCTACCACCGCAGTTTCTGAACGTGAGGCGAGACACGGCCCAGAATCAGCCCATGGTCCAACCGGGCGCAGGCGCAACAACCAATCCATCATTCTCAGGATGCGTAAGCATACCGCCCAGCACAGGATCGACTCTTTTTCGGAAGGCTTCTTGAGAATGGTTTCGTTGTGCTTCCACTTTGCAGTCGCGTCAATTTGAAGTTTCCTTTAGGATTGTGATTTAGTGTGTGGAACTTGCCGAGAGCCTTTTGCTTGTACCAGGCCTTTGAAATAAACTTTCAAGCTGAGCAAGTTGCTGCTGCTCGTTGCGGATTGCAGAGAGATGGAAGCGCCAAGAACTTCAAAGGTTAAGCAGTTTGCTGATAAAGATGTACGGGATGTACTTATCAAGTTATCAAGCACAATTATTGCAACCAACTGTATCCTTCATAACGGTTCACGTGAACGCTCAAGCAGGTTCCATTGCTCTCAAGTTTGGGATTCCACTGAATGTTTCCCATTCCGTATGGCCAGATGTCAAACTCGCTCGAGTCTTCCGTTGCTGTAATCAGTCCCCTTCGTTTTCTGCGCAGGCACCTGCTGTCGTGGCGGGCGAGGCAATAGCCGCTTCTGAAGGAGAGGGGCCTCCGTCGGTCGAAGGCCAGCCGCGGGCCTCCCAAAGCCCCCCGACCTCCGCGGAGGGCCTTCGCCCGCCCCCTCGATCACCACCAACAGAGGAGGTGCTGTCGGATTCAGATGACGAACCCATTGCCGCACGCATTCCTGGACCCCGGTCGATCATGCGTCACCCCGCCCAACAAGAGACGCCGCTCCCGAGCGCGCAGCCAGTCGGCGCCCCCCCCCTCGGACAGGGGACGCCGCTCCCGGCCGCGCTGCCAGT